TCCAAAAAACAAAACAATTATATTATGGAAGCTGTTACATCACATTAGTTCTCTTCGGGTCGCCTGTGCCTCTTCGTCTGATAACCCAAAGCTGGGCTGTTGTTGTTCCAGAGCTCCTCAGACCTCCGAGGTGAGGAACCCCGAATGTTCCCCGATCAGATACCTGAGGCAGCTCAGCTCGCGGAGGTGCAGCTTCACTCTGAGCTCCCTCTGGGTGTAAGCTCCTTAGAGTGTCTGAGAGCTCAGCTCAGGCGCCCTGTGGAGGAAGCTTATTTTGGCTGTTTGTGTCTGCGACCTCGGCTGTTCAGCTGGGGTCATGACCTCAGGGGAGGCTTGGATCCTGGTGCCACTGGTAACCTGAAAGCCTCACTGTCTGCTTCAGGCTCTGTGCACCATTACGCTCTGGTGCTACACTGTGACACTGACCATGAGCAACACTGTGGGAATGACTCACCCTATCCACAGCTGTAGAGTGTTCCTGCAGCTCGACATAAATTGAATATTTCTTCAATTTATGTCGAGCTGAGTTCTTGGTGATCACTTTTTTTGATCGGACACTGAGGTCCTCCTCTGTCTGACTCTCTCCTGCAGGTTTCCATGCTGATCCGCAGGGAGCTGTTTGAGCGGGCCAAAGACTTCAACATCATCCTGGACGACGTGGCCATCACCGAGCTCAGCTTCAGCCGCGAGTACACGGCCGCCGTGGAGGCCAAACAAGTCGGTGAGTGAAGAGTCGCTCGGCCTTTGTCCTGCAGCCGCATCGGGCTGAATTTCTGACCCCGAGGACTCGATTACTGCGTCACCTGACGGCTGGTTTCTCATCAGTGTGTGGAGAAAATCATGAGACTCACTGTGACCTAAAGCTAAATATTTACATTACCCAGATTACACCAGAGTGATGAGCTGATAAAAACAGTCACATTGACCTGCTGGGTGAACGATTGTTGTTTGTTCCTCTTCAGCCCAGCAGGAGGCGCAGCGAGCTCAGTTTTACGTGGAGAAGGCCAAACAGGACCAGAGGCAGAAGATCATCCAGGCCGAAGGAGAAGCTCAGGCCGCCAAGATGGTGAGCTCAGCTTTGGAGGGAGATGTCTTTAAGATGAATTATTTTTAGATTAAAAAACAAATGAAATCCACAGAGTCAAAGTTACAAAACACCCGTGAGTGTGCCACAGCAGCCGCTCCAAACCTCCGTCTGAAACCTGAAACTCTGAGAATCAGACAAATGTTTGGTTCGTTAAAACATTCAGACCTGAAAAAGCTTTCAGATAAAATTATTGAGCCTCTAATGCTGTCGTTATAATTACTGGATGAAAATAAATAAGTTTCTAGCAGAGAGGCGCTGCAGGAGTCAGTTTTTCAAGAAGCTCGTTCATTAAACGTCAGCAGGTGACGTGTTTGTAGAGGAGACCTCTGGTTCAACAAAACCTCAAACCCAAGTCAGAGATTACAGCTTCTCCCTGACCAATCAGCAGGCGATTAGAGATATCTGAGGAATATTAAGTCACTGTTGGTCTGAACAGGACACGAGAGCAGCGCTGCAGCAATCAGCACCTCTGAGCTCACAAGTTCACGTTAATCACTCGTTTGTAGCTTTATCACAGAGAAACTTAGTAAATGTAACGTCTGTCACTTCACTGAGAGCAGCATAAAACACATCAGGGACTGAGCATGCTCACTGTAACCTCATTTATGACAACACATCACACTTATTAGCTCATCAGGTAATGTGGCTCTTCCAGCCCGGCCTCTGTTCTTCAGAGACGTGAATCTTTGTGCTGGTGGTGCTTTCAGCTGCTTCTTATCCCAGTGAGGTCCCCACAGTGGGCAGCTCCTCCACAGTTTTGCCTTCCTGACACAGTGGGATGCGTCTCCTCCTGGGATCAAACCAGGAATCTTAGACTTGCAGAAGCAGAAACTGAGTCCACGTAAAGCTTCAGACGACCTCTGAGCAGCAGTCTGGATGGCAGTGTGAGAGCAGCTGTTTCCAGCTGTTGCTTTTGTTAAACATCTGCAGTCATTCAGCGCTTTCGAGGATTTTTACGAGTTAGTATCCAAGAACAAAGCGAGCGTGCTTCAGTTAAACAGTGTTGTTGCTGCTGCTCTGTGAACCCGCTCACCTCAGCCTGTGAGAACCAGAAACGCCTCAAACACTTCATCCAAAAATGTGCTAATTATTTTCTCTGCATGTCAACGTGCGTGCGAAGCCGAGCGGCGCCACGCCCGCAGCTTTGATCCCGCTCGTCGTTAGTTTGAGCGCTGGGAGTGGCTCGCTCGGCCCGCTGCTCGCTCTCCTGCAGGTGCGCAGCGCTCACTAACAGCCTGTTTGTGTCTGCTGCAGCTGGGCGAGGCCGTGACCAAGAATCCAGGTTACCTGAAACTCAGGAAGATCCGGGCGGCGCAGAACATCGCCAAGACGGTAGGAAGCACCACACGATGTTCGTCTGTTTGACACGAACCCCACAAATAAAAACACACAGTTCTCCTCTGCGTACTGCCCCTTTAAAAACGCACAAATAAGCACAAATCCAGACTCACTGAAGCAGGCGAGAGGAGCACGAATGCAAACAAGGCGCCTTTTGTTTGAGTCGAACGAAACCTCAGCAGAGCCGAGAGTCGCACGCCGCCGATGAACTCGTCACATCACGATTCTCTTTAAACCAACAGGTTTAAATTAAACTCAGTTTCCTCAGTCGGACCCTCCTGTGACTCCTCGTGGTCGATAATGAACAAATAAAGAAAGACGGCTGATGGAAATGTTTGATGCACGATGCTGCTGTGCTGGCGTGGAAACATAAGTTTCTCGAGAACGAGGTGACGTAGGATTTTTGAAATTCACACAAGGTGGAGCTGACATCAAGGTCAAAGGTCAAGTCAAACCTTGTGTGTGTCTCCTAGACCAGCGGTCCCCAACCCCCGGGCCTCGGACCGGTACCGGTCCGTGAGTCGTTTGGTGCCGGGCTGCGAGAGTTGAGGCTCAGGTGTGAAATGTATAGTTTTCAGGGTTTTTATCGGTTTTTGTTATTTTGTTATCGTTTTTATCGTTAACTCGGTTTTCCTGGGTCTTTTCACGTGTGTTATGAATAAATCTTCTTTTTTTCGGTACCGGTACTAGTTTTATTTTATTGTATTTATCCGCGACACCTTAAAGGCCGGTCCATGAAAATATTGTCGGGCATAAACCGGTCCGTGGTGTAAAAAAGGTTGTTGACCGCTGGTCTAGGAGACTGCAGGGTCGCTGACAATAGGATGATTAAAGTGATTGTTTCAAGACGTTTCCTGTGACACTCGAGCATCACTTCTACTGTGGACACCACAGAAGAAGAGCTGGCCTCCTTTAAAGGGTGGATCGCACACCTGTTCTGTCCTTCTTGTTCTCGGTTGTTTGTTTTGTGACTCTTTTGTGTGTTCGGTCCTTTCAGGGTCACTTTGTGCTCGTCGTTCAGTCTCTAATAGTTTGAAACGCTCAGCAGTCATTGGTTGTCAGCTGTGCAGCTCTTCGTGCTCGGCGAGCCGCCTCTGTCAGAGAGAAATCCTGACCGTGTCGGCGCTCCGGAGAACTCGCTGAAGCTAAAGTAGAAGCAGAGCGCTGCTTTAGTGTAGCTGTTGTTGCATCAGCAGCAGCAGCGCCGGCTCACCTGTTGTGCTACAAACACCTGCAGAGCCCCGCCTCTAACCTGCCCCTCCTCCTCCTCTGTGTGGGAGATGAAAAGACACATTTGAGGTTGAGAACAGCTGTTTGATGGGAGGTTTCACACTCGTCAGTTTGGCTTTGGCTGAAACTAAAAACTCAAACGTGGACCAGATGATCCTGATGTTTCGTTTCCTTCAGAGTAAACGTCACACGAGTTCCTGCAGCAGCGTGGTCTCACTGTTACTGTTACTCGGAGCAGCGTGGGGTCCTCCTGGTTAAGAATCGCTCTTTGTACAGTAACTACCAGCAGCTGAGCAGTGATGCAGCTGCGTGAACAAGAACAGTCAAAGATATTTGTTCTATATTCATTCATCACCGAACGTTTGGTTTGAGTTCGACAGTGTTGAGCTGCCATGTGTGATCCAGACCACCAGGTGGCGCCAAGAGAGCAGGAATGTAACAGAAAGCAGGACTGAAACAAAAGGCTCAGACTGTAAACTGTCTTTTTTGTCCTCAGCTCTGACCTTTGACCTCCACTCACGCATCAGCCCACAGCAGGAAATGTCGAGCATTGATTCTGGATTTAAATTTAAATTAAATGTTTGAACGTTTTAAAAGAACGCAGATCAGGTGGGAGAGGCCGAAACGATGCTGAGCAGCAACAGAAGAGAAACGTGGCTTCATCGAGGCTTTAAAGTCGACTTTGCATCAAACGATGAAAACGTCGGGAAAGACAAACCCTCGTGAAGCAGAGTGATGCGCTCGCCTCTTCACTCACACAGAATACAGTCAAATCGCTGATGAAGCAAACGTGTTAAACAGGTCGCTCAGAGGAATTAAAGTAAAAAGATGTTTCAAACAGTTTGAGATATAAAATCCTGAAAACCTGACAAGGGAGGTGGAAACACGAGGAAGGAAGCCATGAACCGACCTCATCGCGAGCTGTGACTCACATGGAAACTGTGCACGGACACGGAGCCGCTCCGCCCCCTGTCTTCAGACACAGGTGAACCTCAGCAGCCAATCAGAGCAGAGAGCAGGTTAATGAGGATGATGAAAACACAGATATGTTTGAGTTTTTATTCCGATGTCAGACACAAACGTCTACCCAGCGTCCCGCCTGCACCGGCCTCATCATCAGCTCTCGTCGGTTTTAAATTAAAGACTGTTTCTTAAATTTGCACAAACTCGCTGACGTCTGCTCAGCAGAAGCTGCTGCTCGTCTCACAGCGCAGCTAAAAA